TCCCCCCCCTGCTGAGCGCCCGCGCCACCCTCGCCCTCGCCACCCTCGCCCTCACCNCTTGTCACACACACACGCACACACTCGCTGCCTTCCACACCCCTCACACCCCCCACACCCACTCCACCCCTCCCGCAGGCACCGGCGGCAAGCCCGAGCTGGGCGAGGAGGCGGCCCAGGAGAGCCACCAGGAGATTGGCACCGCGGTGTCGGGCGCAGACATGGTGCGGGGCTGCCGCACGCACGCCGCCGCCCCTCGGCGCGCACCCCACCCCGTGCCCTGTCCCCCCGCGCGTGGCGCGCGCCGCCCTGCCCGCCAGCTGGCACCCTCCCCGCCCACGCCAGCCTGCCTCCCTGCCAGCGCCAGCCAGCCGCCAACCTGGCCCCACCCGCCTCCCTTCCATTCCACCCTCCACCCACCTGCAGGTCTTCATCACCGCCGGCATGGGCGGCGGTACCGGTACCGGCGCGGCCCCTGTGGTGGCCCGCCTGTCCAAGGACCTGGGCATCCTCACCGTGGGGGTGGTCACCTACCCCTTCTCCTTTGAGGGGCGCCGCCGCGCGCTGCAGGTGGGCAAGCGCGGCCCTGGGGGGCTGGGGCCCTGTGGGAGGGAGGGTGGGAGGGAAGGCAGAGAGGATGGGAGGAAGGGATGGAGGAAGGGAGGAAGCGCCCTCGGGCATGGATGGAGGGGCCCGGGCCTTACACGCTGGGTTGTGCTGCTGAGCTGCGCCATGCCACCCCACCCCTCCACCCTCCTCTTTCGCCCCCCCGCCCCTCCACGCACACGCGCACTCCCGCCACCACCACCATACACGCGCTCACCCCTCTCAACCCCTTGCGCCGCCGCCCCCAGGCCACCGACGGCATCGAGACGCTGCGCAAGAACGTGGACACGCTGATCGTCATCCCCAACGACCGCCTGCTGGACGTGGTGGGCGAGTCCACGCCGCTGCAGGACGCATTCCTGCTGGCAGACGATGTGCTGCGCCAGGTGCGGGGGCGGCGGGGGGCCATCATGGTCCGGGCGGGCGGTCCAGCGGCGGCGCGCCTCCCCGCTCCGCCCGGCCTCCCCTGCGTGCCTTCCCCCTCTGCCTGCCCCCACCCACCTCCCCTTCCTTGCCTCCCACACACACCCCGCCCTCCCCCAAACTGCGCACCTCTCCTCTGCCCCGAGGCGAATCCCCGCCACCACCCCTCCTCCCCACCTGCTTTCCACCCCCACCCCCCCC